CCTTACAAACTGACCTGGTGACAACCTTCTGCTTCGGCTTCTTAGCCTCAAGAGGCTTCGCCTGAGCTTGGGCGGGCTCGGGTACACCTTTCCGAAACTTACCCACATAAACCCAATACTCTTCGAGAATATCCTTACAGTTAGTAAGGTTCTTCTCTGGTTCCCAGGTATTGTGCTCGGGCCCATACCCTAACCATTTGACCAGGAACTCTGTCTTGGTGCCTTTTCCGCGTTTACCTGTGGGGTTATCGAGTGTTCTTTCGACCTCATACTCTAATGAGTCATCGATTTCGATGGGTGGTGGAGGCGGCTGCACTCTGCCATTATTTCTGTAGGGCTTCACAAGATCAACGTGAAACACGTTATGCATCTTGAGATTTGGTGGAAGCTTCAACTTATACGCGACCTTGCCCACCGGTTCGATCACTTCGAACGGTCCTACCCACTTGGGCAGAAGCTTGCGAGTCCCTGGATTTGCGAGCTTAAAATTTTGCGTTGAGAGGAGAACCTTCTTCCCCTTCGCGAAAGAGACGTCTCGTCTCTTCTGATCAGCAAAAGACTTCATACGCGACTTGTGCTGCCAAGATACTTTGTTTTGCTCGCGCGATACTCATATCCATCTGACGCAAAAAGTCAATGGGGGACCCGAGTTTCCCTGCCCCCATCAAGAGGTGTACGTGGGTGCTGACCAGTATTTAACATAAACGGGGTTTCTTTAACCGATTCTTGCCAAGCATTGTTCACACTGAACTCTGCAAGATACAGCCACTCATCCCAATCGTCCTGCTGAGGACTGGTGTAGTGACGCATGAAATCCTCTAGGATACGGTTAGCCCGCTCAGTTTGTCCATCAGTCTGAGGGTGGAACGGTGTGCTCATCTTTAACTGCGTTCCTAGCAGCCGCGCTAGCTCAACCCAGAACTTGCTTGTAAACCTCGGATCTCTATCCGAAACAAATTCTGCAGGAAGTCCGTGAAGTCTAAACACGTTATGCGCGAACAGCTTCGCAACATCCGAGTCCTCAGCGGAGCATTTTGTGTGCGTGGGAGCAAAATGAACCATCTTGGTTAACCTGTCAACGAAAACCACAATTGCATCATGACCACTCC